TCCTGCTCTGAGAAAGAAAAATGTTAAGAAAATGAAAAGACAAGTCAGAGAGTAGGAGAAAATCTTTGCAAGACATTTATCTGATAAATGACTGGTATCCAACAGATGCAAAGAACTCTTAAAGCTCAACAGTAAGAAGAAAAACAACCTAATTAAAAATGGGCAAAAGATCTGAACAAACAGCTCCCTAAAGAAGATACACCAAAAAGAAATATGCTACATGAAAACACTCCACATCAAATGTCAATGGGAAATTGAGTAAACAACAATGAGGTATCACGACACACTTATAAATGGCTATAATTCAAAATACTCAGAACGCCAAATACTGGTGAAGATGGGAAGATAATCCTCATTCATTGCTAAGGTGAAAGGAAATTGGTACCCTAACAATGAAAGACAGGAGCTTTCTTTCAAAAAATATACTCTTATTATGTATAGTAAGATTCAGCAATTACACTCCTTGCTATTTGTCCAAATGAATTGAAATCTTATGTTCACAGAAAACCTGTACACAAAAATCTGTAGAGGTTTTATTCATAATTGGCAAGAATTAGAGTTAAGCAAGATATACTTCAAGAGTCTAATAAATAAATGATCAGTGCAATGAAATACTCTTTGGTGATAAAAAGAAATGAAGTATCAAGCTTTGAAAATACATGGAGGAAGCTTAAAAGTATATTGCTAAGTGAAAGAAGCCAATCTAACAAGGTTATATACTGTATGGTGCCAAGTATATGAGGTTCTGGAAAAAACAAAAGCATGAGACCATAAAAATATCTTTGGCTGTGAAGATTTTTGGCTTTTGTTTTAAAGGATTTGAGGGTTAGAGAAAGAGATGAATCAACAGGTTGAGCACAGAGTATTTTTATGTAAGTAAAATTACACTACATGTGCATAAATGATGGACACATATTGTATATTTGTCAAATCCATACATTACATAACACAATACAAAAGGTCCACACTAATACAACCTGTGCACTTTTAATGCATCAGTATTGGTTCAGCAATTCTAACAAATGTAGCAGTTCTACAAGATTTAAAAAACAGTGAATACTGTATGGATGGAGAAGGGTTATGTGAGAACTCTCTATAATTTCTGTTCAATTCTTCTCTAAACCTAAAACTGATCTAAAAACGCTGAAGTCTACACCAAAAGAAGAAGACGATGACAGATCTGTACAGCTCACCCCTGAGGACTTCCTGATTTTTCCTTAGGTGTGGTGAACCATGGGTGTGCTTATCTACCAAGGCTGTCCCAGTTGAGGGATGAAGGGCAGCAACTCTCCACTGAGTTCCAATACACCCTGACAATACCTCAGGGTGTACTGTCATCCTTAGTCTATGCACTTCCCCAGACCTGTGCATTCAGTTAATCCCAAGCAACTACCCAGGGAAACAAGGTGTTGGAGACAATGGCTCCTCCACCACCACAGCATGTTTCAAAGGACAGTAGAAAGAAATGTCATCTCTCCACTGGGAGGCATAAGCCAGAGGGCCAAGGTTTAGCTCCATCATATAACAAGTAGGTATGAGTAGTCAGTCTGAGGTGACTGGGATGCTCTTTCCAGTACCAAAGCCATAACAGGCACCTCAGTGGAGCCCTCTATTTTTAAGAGATCCCAGTACATGGAGACAATTACAGCTTTAATGGCATATTAAGATGGGACCTGGGCAGTGCCTTGCATCAGAAGCCTATGGCAACTTAAGGCCCTCCTCCAGAGGGCCTCCCATCACTGCCAGCAGGGTTAGAGGCCTCCTCATGGCACTGATTGCTTTATAGAATTTAAGGAACTCACTTATGTTGGGTTTGAACTAATCTCTTTGCTGTGCCAAACTGAGACGGTGGGTGTTGTCCATCATAACCCAGAGGGTAAGGAGCCTTGCTGTAATAGATGAAGGGGCAACAGCCTCTTAAAAGTTATTTAAAAAGTTTTGGTGAGCCTTCTGGAATCTCACCACCTACTAGCTGCTTTTCCCTGTCTCTTTTCTTTCACTTTCTTTGAAGTAACTGCTCTCTAAGTAGTGACTGTCTTTTGGGCTCACCTCATTCACAGGGTATAATCATCCTCCTACTCACCCAGTCCTTCCCTCAACACCCAGCCTCAGTCACACCTTCACTCTAAACACAGATAGGTTCCAGCTCAGACATCAACCCAGGACCACTGGAAGGAGGGCCCCATTCTCATATTCCTGCTCCCAAGGTACAAGGGATTAACAGAAACTGCCAGCTCGGAGTTCTAAGTGTATACAACCAAGGCTTGGTGGGGTCAACAATGCAATACAGGGCAGCACAGCGCACAGGAGGAGACCCCAGCAAACAGCAGCTCACAGGGCAGGAGCCTCCAGGCTTTCTTATCAGCCCGTCCAGGTAAGAAGCACTAGGGGAAAAGGGAGGGGTGAGGCTTAACTTTCAGTAGTCAAACATCAAATATGCGGATCCCAAGTAATCATTCCAAGAACAAAAACTGTAAGGAAAACAGGCATTCGCACTGGATTGTTTGTGTATAAAGAAACACTAAAAGGATGATGAAATAGTAATCAAAACTAGTTATCTGAGGGTGGCTGGAGTTAACAGCGTAAGAGTGTAGGAGGATATGCGGGCAGGGAGTCCTGAGATACTTTCCTCCCTTAGGAGTTTACACTTTTCTACAAAGGAAACTACTGCAAGATCTGATCCTTTAAACAGTAATGGATATAAACTTGTAATCCATAAAAAATGAAAGCCTCCTTTCAAACTAAAAGGACAAGGGACATTACAGTTGGTCCCTCTACTATAGTAAACAGAATGGTCCCTTAATGACCCTCCCCGTGGTCAACGCACAATCTGGAAGAGACACGGGGCTGCGGGTGCAGAGTTGCCCGGAGAGGCTCCGGGGTCGGGCTGAAGACGCCACCCGCATGGACCGGGTCCCGGCTGCCGGGTCAGCCCCCATGCTGCAAATCGGAGGGGACTGAGGCCCGCGCGGCGCCCCCGGTGGATTCGGGTCCGCAGACTCCGGAGTTGACCGCGAAGAGGCCGGTTCCGGGAGCTTCCAACCAGTCCCTCCGCCCCGTCTCCGCTCCCCGGGGCAGCACACTCACCATTGCGAAGTTTCCTAGGTCTTCCTGCGCCCTTCCCTCGACTCCAACCACCACAGCAGGTCAGAGCAGAACAGAAGAGACGGAAGCTCTTCCAAAGACCCTGAAGGGTAGGTAAGCCGCCAGCCCAATGCGGTGGGAAGAACCGACGTCCACGCCGGTGCACCGCGTCGCCCCGCCCACCCGCCTCACCGGCCTCCTGATTGGACAGGTCCCAGTGCCCCACCCCCTCATGCCTGAGTGACAGCCTGCGAGAGGAAGCCTGAGTCAGCGGAACCACTTTCCGCCGTTGGGATGGGACCTGTCCCCGCCTGGCACTTTTGCTTTGTGACAGAAATTTTTCCTGTCCCGGGATTGTCTCTGCTGTCTTCCGCAGCTCCTCGTGCACTGGGATTCCTGACTCAATTTCAAGACGGAGCAAGTACAGATAAGAGGATGGCTCAGGCCTGCCCTGCCTGGAACAAGGTTTTATGTCTTCCAGGGCTCAAGGGCTTGGTGTAAGGCTGGCTGTATGGCCATTCATGGAGCTGTGCTTCTTAAGAAACGCAGACATTTAAATGTGAACTCACCATCTGTAGTAAAGGGCTGGCTCCATTTTCATCTTTGGTCCTTGACAGCGCTGAACCTTCCACCCACCCCTGCCCCATCCCCACTCATTAAGTACTTAAGGTACCTAATCCCAGCGCACTTGGCTCTGGTAGGAGGTCTGAATCAGTCAGCTGGGTGCCAGTACAAATCTCAGTCAAACCACAGGCTGTGAGGTGTGTGCATTAACTTCTCAGGCGCACATGTTACACTGGAAGGAAATTTATTTTAGATCAGTGTTCCCTGTGTGCCTAGAAAACCTTGAAATGTCAACAGCTATAATATATATATATATATATATATATATAAATATATATATACACACACATATATATACATACATATATATATATATGGCAATTGTCTTCCTATTTCCACTGACAAGAAAAACTATAAATTGTACTTAAAATTGGAATGCACCTAGAAACTCTTCCTGCCCCCATCTTTATTGAAATATAATAAAATTGCATCTAAAGATTAAAACATGATGATTCTGATACTTACACTGTATTGTATAATAGATATTTGCTGAGAGAGTGGATCTTAAGCATACTCACCATGCAAACAAAAATAAAGGTGACTAACTGAGGTGATGGATGTGTTTAACCTGGAAAGTCTTATATTCCCAAGAGATTGAACTGCAAACTCTTTTACATTGCAAAATACTTCATGCATTGATTTATTTGAACAGCTTTATGGAGATATAATGCACATACTTTAGAAGGCATCTATTAAGTGTACATTTTAATGGTTTCAGTATATTTGCAGATACACACAATTATCACAATTTTTGAGGATTTTTGTTACTTCAAAAAGAAACTCTTCTGCCCTTTAGCTATCACTGCTAATCTTCTTATCCTCCTATTCCAATCCCCCAGCCTAGAAAACCACTACTCTACTTTCTATTTCCATATTCTGCTCTTTCATATTAAGAATTATATATGGCCTTTTGAAGGACTTCATTCACTCAGCATAATTTCTTCAAGAGACAACTATGCGTGAATATTTCCTTCGTTTTATGTCAGAATAATATTCTACTGATTGGATAAGACATGTTGTGTTTATCTATTCACCTGTTAATTGACATTTGGATGTTTCTCCCTTTTGCTCACTATGAATCATGTTACTACAAAATTCATATGTAAGTTTTGATCAAACATGTGTTTTCATTTTCTTGAGCATGTACCTAGGTGGGATTGATGGGTCATATGATAATTCTAGGTTTAATATTTAAGGATCTCCCAGACCTTTATCCAGAGCAGCTTCGCCATTTTATCTTCATTCCACCCCATATGAGAGTTCAAATTTCTCCATGTATCCTCGATAAAATTTATTGCCTCACTTTTTAATTTTAGCCATCCTAATTGTCAAGTGGAATCTCACTGTGGTTTTGATTTGCATGTCCTTGATGACTAATGATATCCAGAATCTTTTCATATGCCCTTGAATATTTGTGTATTTTACTTGGAAAACTGTGTATTCAGATCCTTTGTCATATTTAAATTGAATTATTTGATTTTTATAAATTGTTATGTCTAGATATTTTCATTACAAGTTCCTTTTCAGATATAAGATTGGCAAAATTTTCTTCCATTCTGTGGGTTGTGTTTTCACTCTCTTGCCCTAAAAAATTTACTTATAATTGTAGTAATATACACATACCATAAAATGTACATGTTCACCACTTTTAAGTGTATAGTTCAGTACTATGTAATACACTGCCATTGTGAAACCAATCTCCAGACAATTTTCATCTTCCACAAACATGTTGAGTCTAAACAAATAGACTGCCAGTTATTTCTCCAGCAAAATATGGGTTTATCCAGGACGAGCAAAGAATTGTAATTTGGGATCTGCAACCTTGGCATGCGAGATCCCTGGAGCAAGGAGACAACTCTTTTAAAGAAGGGAAAAGGATGTTCGGAGGGCTATCATAAACAAAGAATGATCTGAGCAACTGAGGGTTCAAAATACAGTGGCTTTTCATTGGCTGAGTTATGACAGTTTCTCACTGGCCAAGATCTTGAGGCAAGAAGAGAAAGCCCTCCTTCTTTCTGTTGGGCTCAGCTATCCTCATAGGGTGTGATAGCTTCCCTTCTGGTCTCCTATTTAATTTAGGTTTCTGTTTATTAATTTTTTACATCCGTAAGACAAGTCCTCATTCTCCCATTGCCAGCCCCTGGCAAAAACTATTCTACTTTTTGTCTCTAGGAATTCAACAACTCTAGGTACCGCATACCAATGAAACCACAAAGTGCCATTTCAACAGTGTTAAATATTCTGATCCAAGAAATTAGGATGTTTTCACATTTATCTTACATTAATTTATTTATGTTGACCATGCTTTGTAGTTTTCTGAGTATTCATTTTGTATTCCTTTTGCTAAATTTATTCCTAATTATTTTTTCATCTTATTAGAAATGCATGTCTTGGTTTCATTATATCATTCCAAGTGTATAGAAATACACTAATTATTATATTTTGACCTTGTATATTATCACTCTGCTGAACTCAATAATGAGTTCTAATACTTTAAAAAAAAAATTCTTTAGTCTTTTCTGAATAGACAATATCTCATCTGGAAATGGAAATAGTTTTTCATCTTCCTAACCAATCTTTAAGCATTTTATTGCCTTTTCTTGTATAATAGTTTTGGCTAAAATCTCTATACATTCTCAAATAGAAGTGGCAAGACCAGATATCCTTGTTTTGTTCCATATCTTCAGATGAAAGCATCCAATCTTTCATCATTAAAAACATTAGCTTTGGGTTTTCCACAGATGTTCATTATGAGGTTAAGAAATTTCTTTCTATTCCTGTTATTCTGAGTGTTTTAGTCATGGTGTATATCATAGGTGTATATCACTACAACCTTCCCTTTTACTACTCCTTATGCTTCATACAACTGTCCTTGTATATTTCTCTCCTGGTTTTTACTTAACACTAAACACCATGGAAAATATTTAATTTCTTCTGCTCTTTAATAAAAAGTGAAGTTGTTACTTTTATTTTCCAGGTTTCCAGAAAATGTGCTGGAAGTCTAAGCATATGGAAATGAAACCTGTGAACAGCAAAATGTGCTGTGGGCTTTGTGGATCATCGAAACGAGAGGCGTCCTGCTTAAAGGAAAAAACATTAAAAATTTCCCATATCTCCTTTTATACTCAATTATGATATTACATGAAATGACACAAATTACCAAAACTTATAGGCCTCACTTGAGTCATAAAGGAGATATTAAAAATATTACATAGTATACTAAACAGTAAATTTATATATTATAACTGAGGCACTGCTTGGTACCTCAGGAAATACATCAGTGTTTAGATAACAAGTAGGAAGGGCAAAAGCTGTTCCAAAGGACCAGGAGCTGGCCTGTATTCTTTGTAAGGCCAAGTCTTTTCCTGTTGAAAACAAAAATGTCACACACCTCCTTCATCAAGGCACTCAGTGGCCATGAAGGATCAAGACATTTATATGAATATTTTGTAACACTATCTCTAAAAATGGTAAAAGATAAAAGTTCCAAATCATAAAAATGATCAGTACGTTCCTTTTCTTACTAATATGACTGACTGGAATGTCTTATGAAAAAACTTTCGCTCTAATTCTCGTTTTTACCTTCTAGAAAACAACAATTATGATCACCAATGAGAGAAAAGTTTACCTCCTCACAGCATTCAATACAGAAAAACATCTTGCTTGCTTAAATAGAAATCATATCCTCTAACAAGAGTCAAAATCCTATAAGAAGTCCATTTCAGCATCCTGTTGCTATTATACTTCACAGTCCTTGTGGTCTGTGTTCATTCTTATTAAAATTCATTATACTCCCTTTTTTTTTTTTTTTTTTTTGTGGTACGTGGGCCTCTCACTGCTGTGGCCTCTCCCGTTGCGGAGCACAGGCTCCGGACACGCAGGCTCAGCGGCCATGGCTCAGGGCCCAGCCGCTCCACGGCATGTGGGATCCTCCCAGACCGGGGCACGAACCCGTGTCCCCTGCATTGGCAGGCAGACTCTCAACCATTGCGCCACCAGGGAAGCCCCCTCTACTCCCCTCTTTGACTACAGGTGTGATTCTATGGGTCAGTGGCAGAGGGCACTGAAAATTTTTTACATTTTTGGTATTAAGAGTGAATGTGAAATGAATTTCAAATCAAAAATTTTAACTACAAAAAAGTAAAATTTCTCTGAGAAAAAAATACTTGAACATGATAATACTAATGCAAAAATATAATGATTAAATGAAGAAAATTGCAAATTTATCTGAATATCCATAATTATAATGGGTATTTTAAAATATATTCTGAGGAAAGATAAACCACAGTATTTGTTAGCATACGAAAGCTTAGGAAAGAGTTGATAAAATATTTCTCCAAAACAACTACAGAATCATTTCTTTCACCAAAAAATGAACATACTTTTAATCATGTACAATCAAACATAACTGAAAACAAAGAGGGGTTATATTCAGCTACCAGTAACAGAAAGCACCCATACTTTTCTTGATATGAGGAAGGGGCTTATTCTCATATAGAAGGAGTGGGTCAAGGCAGCCACTGCACAATGCAGCAAACTCCCATGTCATTGTTCATCGCCGCACCATTGTGAATGTCATGGTGTATCAGGAAAACATACTCACCAGCAATGTTAACAGCATAAGGTGTTTCCTACCCAAGTTAGACATGATGAAGCTATAATCTACAGAAGAGGGTAATCAAACAATACTCCAAACCATGAAATTCTGAATTATTTTCCAAGTGGACACAGAAGGCTTCACAGAAAAATTCAAACTCTAACAGATTTTGATGTAGAATTGTGAAGACATCAGAGGAAAACTATACTTCTGATAATAGAAATCAAACAGTTGGTGGTGGTTTTGAGGATACTCTTGAATACAAAGGCACAGAATCTGGAAAATAGGATGAAAGGTGGTGTCCTCAAACCTCCTAGGTATCTGTCTCTCTCCCAGCATGGTGGCTCCAAAATCTGAAGTATGCCTTCTTCTCATCTGATGCCTTTCAATTGCACACAGGTGACGCTATTGGTTAATTCTAACATT